TTATTTAAAATATAAAGTAATAAGATACCGTAAGTAATTTTTAAATAGATAATAAAATACTTTTTATTTTTTAACTTTTTTTATAATAAAATTTTTATTATATAAATAAATAATAAATAAATAAAATGTAATGTAATGCATAATATGAAACAAATAATGTAATATAATGAATAATATGTAATGCAATGCATGATATGAAATAATAAAATTTTTTAATACAATACAATACTTGCATTTAGTCAGATATAAAATAATCTATAACTGTTGATCCTAAACACTACGTAGAGGTAGCAAGTATTGTTTAGGAAAAAGATGTGAATTAAATTGCAATTGTGGATAAACTTTGTTAATTCATCAGCATTGTTTGAATGTGGTTGCTTTAAACCCTAATTCCAGTAACTTAGAAAACCAACATATCAATACAATCAAAATAATTCAATTTGGATTTAGCAAGTTAAAACTTGCAAAGGAGGAAATGGTCAGACCCTAAGCCATAGATGACCATCCCTAATTTTCATTGTGTTTGATATAATACAGTATATAAGAATATTTATTAAAATACAATAAATCAATTGAATTTTATTAAAAAATAAATCTTTTAAAATTAACCTAATATAAAATAATAAAAAGATTAATATAAATATAAAAATAATAAATAAGCTTAAAATTATTAATCACTTGCCAATTACCGGCAAAACTCAAAACAATTATTTGAAAAAAAACAAAAATAGCAAATGATTTAATAAATATTCTAATTTATATTCGTTGTCTTCTAATTAAAAACTCAATAGAACAATTCAATATTTAAAAATTAAATTCGAAAATTTACACACTAACGTTTCATTATCATATTGACTGTTAGGTCCTTTCATCAATAGGGTTAATATCAGTTTTTTTCTCCCTTCCTAAGTTAAGTTTACGTTGTGGGATAACTTCCAAAAATGCTTTTTCCCAATCTTTATATTCTAACCAACGAATAAGAATTTCAAATACTAACAAAAAAAAAAAAGGGAACTCGTTAAATTCAGATGAAATGTAAAGAATAGTAAATATTGTAATTCACGAACCATGATTTACAGCCAAAACTTTTCGTGTACTCAATTGAACATAATTCCCAATGGGTAATTGAGCTGAAGCAATATTATCTTCTTGAGACTTATTATAACATATACTCTAATATAAATGATTAAAATCAAAATTAAAAAATTTTTCAATTAAAACATTATATTACATCATTGACATAATATTAAACCTTGTGACGATTTTTATCCACTAATCCTCCTATTATATAAATTTTTTGTTCATCTAGTTCTTGTATACAATCATTCGAGTCTGCTGTCAAGTAAATTAATTCCTCCTTGTTAAAACAATCCAAGTAAGGCCTAGATTCAAAAATCACGTTTTTCCAATTAACATAATTTTGTAATTTTGTATTAAATCGTTCTTGAACGCGACCTCCACATGAAGTAAAATATAAATTGACAGGACGCGTCGCTGATCGATTGGCCGAGTAGCAACGCGATAATTGTGAGGTTAAAGACGAAATTTCCTAATAAAGAGAAATAAATTATACAGTGAATTGTTTTTATGCATAATCATCTTGGTAAAATAGATAATTTAAGAAAGTTACCACATCAGTCATCAATTCATCAAATGACAGATCGATAACAACTTTTATATCGCTAGGGATTGGTTCAACTTTAGGTTTCTTTGGTGGTGGCTGTGAAAGACCTATGAATATTCACATTTGCAAATTTTAGAGATTAACCTTTTAATCAATAATTGAATAATACAAATTGTTAATAAACCTAATTTCTTGGCTTTCCGCTTTTCTTCCTTCTTTCTCCTATCTTTTTCCTTCAAAGCCGTTTTGCGTGCCTCACGTGTCTCCTCCCATTTTTGTTGTCTTAAAAGTTTTTTCAAGGCATTTTTGGATAATTTTTGCTGGGGCTCTTCCTCATGCTTTTCATCAATCGTTTCATTTATTAACCCGTTAGATAAATCCTTGTTTTTCTCTGAAATGATGACTTTTGAAGTATTTTCAAAATTATTATTTATTTCCTCATTTGAACTTTCCATTTTAATTTTTTAAGATATCTGAAATCCGAAAAATTTTAAATTGTAGATCTTGCTATCTTGTTTCCGGTTACAAATCAACATAACTTAGACCATATTTGTTTTTTTTGTATCCAAATGAAATAAATAGTAACATTTTATTTATAAATAAAAAAAAAAAAAAAATTCTTTAGATGGAAATTTTAAAGGTATAAATTTTAACATCAAATTTTACAAATTCATTCATCAATTATCATCTCGTATAATACATGAATTTTTAATGAGCAATTAGTACATCCTGTAATATTTGCTCCTTGCTCTAAATCATGTTCTGTTATAATATGATATCCACTACAACGACATGGTATAGAATAAGATTTTGTTTCTAAATAATGAATTACAACAACAACAAAAAAAAAAATATTCTTAAATTAAAGATTCAACATAAAGAAATTAAACATCAAGAAAAGAAATGGGACCTTCGTTATATTCCATATCATCTAAATCAACTTCCGTATTATAAATTCCATCTTGTTTTAATCGTGTCGCTTTTTTTACATAAATTTTTTTTTAAATGATTTTTTTTTTTTAATTCTAAATGCAAAAATTTGGGATAATCTTAATTCACTTAAAACAATAACGTATATGATACCTTTTAATTCATCATCATAAACCTTTCTCGATTCGGGATCTTTAAGTACTTGCCATGCCTTGATAATGAGTTCAACTTTACGGTCATTTTCATTATTATTGATATTCTCTTCGATTTTTTTCATGATTGATCCTAATTTATCTGGATGATACTTTAAATTCTTGTTAGTTTGTAATTTTGACGAAAAATTAAATTTGTACACTTGAGTGGAAAATAAAAAAACCTACGAAAAGTAATAATTTTTGATATTGTCGTTTAATTTGTTCAATTGATACATTTTCGTCTGAAATTTCAAGAATTTCGTAATATGTTGGTGTGATTTCTTGACGAGTAAGTTGATTCATTGTATAAGTAAGGGACAAAAAAAAAAAAATTTCTGGTACAACACGATCTTGCATTAGATTTGATCTGTTATCAACAAATTTCAAAAAATTTTCGTTATTCGACAATAAAATCTACATCTTTATTAAAAAAAAAAAAAAAAAAAAAATTTAGAAAAACCATGTCTTCTTCAACATCGAATAATAACACTACAAATTTAGAAAAAAAGGATCCAATTGAAGACAAATCGAAAGAACAGAAAAAATTTGATAAATGGAGAAAAAGTCTAATGTATTTTACAGGTTTAGGTTTATCAATAGAAGAAAAGAAAAACTTTGAAACTCAATTAGAAAAAGATTTTCAAGAATTTCAATGTAAACGTTGTGAAAGATGGAGAGATAAATTAATGAATAATAGTGAATATCCCACTTTCTTTTTTTTTTTTTTATTTTTTTTTTAAAAAAAAAAAAACCTAAAAGTTTTTTTTTTTAATTTTGCACAGGTCCAATAGTAACATTCATGTTAAAGTCTTTAGAAGAAGCGGGTTGTAAAATTGATAAGAATCATATACAATGTAAGCCATGTGATGAAACTCGTAGTGGTGGATTTTCTCCGGAACATGGAATACTTTTATGTCAAAATAGATTTTTTAGTAAAAAACACCAAGAAGATACTATGGTACATGAAATGTTACATTTTTTTGATCATTGTAGATTTAATGTTGATTGGAATAATTGTTTACATCATGCTTGTAGTGAAATCAGAGCTGCTAGTCTTAGTGGTGATTGTAGGTGGACTCGTGAACTTCGTCGTGGATTTTTTAGTTTCACAAAGCAACATCAGGTTTTTCAACCTTTTATTTTAATCAATATAATTTTATCTCAATGTATAATGTATTCCGTGTTAATTGTTTATTTAAATCTCTTTTACAAAAAAAAAAAATAGGCTTGTGCAAAAAGACGCGCAATACTTTCTGTACAACAAAATGATGCATGTTCTGCTCCTGGAGTAGCCGAACGTGCGGTTACTGAAGTATTTGAAAGTTGTTTCAATGATACAAGACCCTTTGATGAAATTTATTAAAGGTTCGATATTAAATAATTTATTTTCTTTTTTTTTTTTGAAAAAAAAAAGAAAAGAGAAAAAAAAAGGTAAAATATGGTTGTTATAAGTTAAAAATAGTATACAAAAAAAAAAAAAAAATCCCCAAGTAATTATAGTTAACCAAAGTTGCATAATTTTGTAAATCTAAAAAAATTAATATGCTACAGTCTTCTTGTCTATATTCTAAGAATAATAGTAATAGCTTATAGATGTTCTTATAAAACCTCTCGATCATCTTTATCGTTATCTATAGCATTTATCTCTGGCTCTTCTCGATCTTCTTGTTCTTCTCGTTCTTCTTCTACTTCATGTCCAGATTCATGTTCTGATTCATGTTGATCTTCTAGTACGTCCTCCTCTGTTTCATCGCTTTCCATTTCCAGTAGTTCTTCATCATCTTCCCCAACTGATACCATTTCCTCTTCCTCTGGATTGTTTAACCTTGCTAATTCCATCAATGTCTCTAATTCTCCGGTCTGCTCACATAAATGTCTAAACAAACTATCCATATTATTTATAAGACGATATGGTGTGTCAAATTCAACTATTTCACCTTCGTCTATCAAAGGGGGAAAAAAAAGTATTGGAAAATGAAATAAACATGTCGAATTACGTAAGGAAGAAAATATCAATATTGAATCCAAAACCTACTCAGAACAAGAATTCGATCCGAATCTATAATGGTTTTAAAGCGATGTGAAATGCATAGCACTGTGGCATTAGTAAATTCGTTCTTTATAGTTTCCTGTATTTTATTTTCTGTTTCTGGATCAATGCTGGCAGTTGCTATAATGAAAAAAAATATGGAATTAAACTTGATATAACTGATATTTAATAATTGACAAATTAATATCTTTTGATGCATCAACATACCCTCATCCATGATAATTATCTATCAAAATCCATAAAGATTACAAAATTAATTTAATTCAACTTAATTGTTGTTTATTCATAATAAACCACATTTTCATACCTTGGATTGTCGCAATAACGCTCTAGCTAAACAAAGTAATTGTCTTTGGCCTCTAGAAAAATTATTACCACCCTCATTTACAGGATCTTCTAAGCTCGTTATTGGTCCAACGACGAAAACCTGATCGTTTGCCAAACTCTCTTCAAAATGTACAAGGTGAACTCTTCTCAATGCTTCCCATAAGTCTTGATCATCATATTCACATCGAATATCCAGATTCGAGCGAACAGTTCCCTCAAATAGAATGGGATCTAACGATATACATTTATCTTTATATATGTTTGTGATTCATTCTAGGGAAAAGAATGTACGTACCTTGAGATATAATAGTTAACCGTGACCTTAAATCCTCTAAACCCAAATTAGAAATATCTATACCGTCGATAATAATGTATCCTTCAGTCGCTTCAGTTAGACGAAGGAACGAATTAGCCAGCGTTGTTTTACCGGACCCCGTTCTACATTTATAACTGTTGTAAAAAAAGGAAAAGTTCCGCACTTTACGAATACAAATAAATTAATGCCTTTATACCTTCCAACGATTCCTACTTTTTCTTCTTCATTTACTGTAAAAGAAATATCTCGAAGTACAGGTTCGAATTGTGGTGAGTATTGTACTGTTAGGTTTGAAACTTCAATTTTACCATTGGTCGGCCACTATAATTTTATTAAGGTTAGAAACAATAAACCAATTCTAAATAACGAAATGTAAGTTTATACGTTACTGCAGCTGGAGGATGTGCGTTATCAATGACGGCAGGTGGTTCTTGTGGCATTTCAATATATTCTTTAATTCGTTCAACGCTAATAAAATGATAATGCCAATTAATTAACAAGAATAGGTTGGAATTTACACTTTAAAATAATAAATATAAAAATTTACAGTGCTTTACCTACTCAAACTTGTTTCCATAATAGTATAATCTTTAACAAGCATCTTTTACAAATTAATAAAAATATTATTATTATTAAAATGTTATCTGTCGCAACATTGAAACTTGTGCAAATAATGTTAAATGAAACTTACAAACACAATTTGTACGAAACCAAGTGCATAACTTAAACAGAAACCAGCCAACCCAGCATCAATGCGATCATAATGACGAAGAATGAATATTCCTGCCAAATATGATGCAAAAGCTCCAATACAACCCATACGAATTGACATCCATCTATTAGACATATGCAAGAGATATGTCGTTCTATTGGATGTATTGAGTCTAAAGAAATATACATATATGAATTAAATCAACCCTTTTTATGTCATTATATCATAAAAATAATTATAATAACCTTTCAATAAACTTTTTAACATATCGTTGCTCAGCTTTGAATGCTCTGATGGTCGTAATACCACTAGGTGAAAAATGAAATAAGCAAAATAAATAAAATATAGTTCTTTTTGATTTTAATAAAGAATTAAATAAGAGATGCTCACGTTATCGTTTCAGTATACCACGATAAAACAGGAGATCGCGTAATTGACTGTAGTCTTTTTAATTCTCGAGAGACATTAATGTACATGCTTCCAATGATTAGATATAAAATGACTAGAAAGTTAATAATATTGTGATAATCGTTAACTAATTTTCAAAAAAAAAAAGTAATAGTAATAAAAATTAAAAATAATCACTTACTAACAACAATAGAGACGAAGAAGAATTCACGTGTTACAACTGTGACAACAACAAGAACACTTATTGCACCTATAGCATTTCCAATAAAACTTGAAATGACAGTTACAAGACCTTGATCTATCATTCCTAAATCTTTCGAAAACCTATTCATTACCCTGCCTAACGGAGCGGTATCAAAAAAGCTCAAAGGTGCCCTAAGTATAGCATTTAGGAGCTTTGAAAATAAAGTCTTGGAACCTTTAAGAGAAACAAAAAAGAATTGCCACGCCATACGAATAATCGTAAAGATGGCGGATGCTAAAGCTATAAGAGCATATATCTGGATGTAATATTTCTCCGGTTTGTCGTCAGCCTCTGACCATTCTTTTAACCAATAGGTTTCACCTACCGTTAAAAGTCGTATGATTATAAATAGAATGATGAGTGAAAACCATAGTATTATTCCGCCGCTAGATTTAAAATAAAAGTAGTAAACTCCAGGTTGAATCTTTCCTTGAAAACGAGCTAAGCACGAACAAAATAATTAATTAACACAATATATAATTATAATAATGAAGCTAATAATTATTTTTTTTTTAAAAAAAAAAAATATAAACCTTCTTCAACAGCCCAATTTTTTTTGTCAGCAACTGATTTCTCTATCGCCTGATTTACAAGATTTTGATCATTTTTATCTATATGTTCTGGTTCCGGTTTAATTTCTTTTCCGAGCACTTCTTCAGTAAGCGAACCAGCTTCACGCAATTCTTGTGGAGTACCTTTTGCCTGAACTAAGCTATCTCCAAGTATAACAATATAAGCTGCATTATCCACAAAATATCTCACATAATGAGTTACCATTATTACAGTCCGACCATGAACCAGCGGACCTTTAAGACAATTATTAATAATTTGACGAGCTACAAAAATAAATTATTGTAAATAAGCACATTATAGAGATCGAAACGATTAAATTAATAAATAAACTAATATAAACCTGTATTCGTGTCTAAGGAGGATAAAAAATCATCAACAAGTAAAATCTCGGCTGAACTATACAAAGCTCGAGCAAGTGCTACACGAACCTTCTGTCCATCAGATAGAACCATATTTTTTTCATCGTACTTTTTTTATTTAAAAAGGTATTCAAGTTAGTATCTGAATAAGGACATCATTTACAAATCATAATAATTATATGTAGCTCTAACCTCTGTGAAATCAGCTTGATCAAAATTCTCAAAGTCATTTGTTAGGCAACAAGAATCAACAATCCTCCAGTAACGTTCATCATTAAAAGGTTCACCAAATAAAATATTATCTCTAAAAGTTGTGTTTTCCAACCATGCTTGCTGAGGAACATACGTAATAGATGAAGAAGGAAAAAGAATTTTTCCTCGTAAGATAAACGTTTCACGAAGAAGAGAAAGCAAGAGAAGAGATTTCCCTGATGATTTTTGTCCACCTTTTTGTTCCCATGAAAGTAATAAATCAATGTATTATATAATATAATCAAAATCAAAGAAAAATATAAAATAAAATCCACCCATACATACAGACAATGCTAAGTTTTTCCAAAGGAAATTCCAAATTAACACCTTTTAATATAAATTCATTATGATCTCTAACATTTATATGATAATTCCAAGCAACATCAACATTATTAAACCCAACGGAAGTCCTTGTAGGATTTATGCTAAACCCTGAGCCTTCCCTTTGTACATCAGGCTCATGTAAAAACTTTTCAACTCTTCCTATGGCTACACCCAAGCTTACAAGTTCAACAACTAAATTAGGGAATATCTGTAAAGGCTGTTTAAGTGTATTGAACAATGTGATACTTGTAAAAGCAATAGCAGCGGTCAGGGGATAATCTTCATTGTCTTTTATTTTGAAATAAGTGAAAGAAGCAAAAGCAAATAATGTTACGAGGAACGGCGTTAGGTGAACAAGTAATGTAAGCATCGTGGTGCGCCAAAACAAACTTCGTAAATAAGTAAGCTCTCTTTTGCGAGATACTAATAATAAATGTCAAAAATTCAATGTTAAATAAATAGTTAAAATAATTTTATAGACAGAATTATTGATTTAAAACTGAGAATTACACATTAGTCTTTCGTGAAAGCTACTCTCCCATGCAAACATTTTAATCATTCGAACTGCGTGGAGAAGCTATAGAATATTTGAAGATTAGAAAACTATTAAAAGCAATTAATGATTTATAAATAGTTACATATGAATGTCATGAATGTCTACCTCAAAGATTTCACCGACCCTGTCATCTCTCGCCTTTTTTACCCGTTTCTGTAATCTGGTTACGCGTCTTCCAAATCTTTTATTACTCCAAAGACATAAGATCATTACACCAACACCAACTAAACTAGGCCAGCCCAACAATCGAAACAAAAAAACCATAGCAGCCAAGATTTCGAGGGGTATCGTAATTATAAAAGGTAGATTTGAGAAAAAACCGGCAATGTCATCGACATCTGCTGTGAGCACATTGTTTGGTTTATTACTTGCAGCTCTAGGAGACGTCTTCAAACGTAATTGCTTTTCATATATTAATACACTAAGCATTTGTTCCACTCTAATCCCAAGCCATACCACTTGATAATTCAATTGATTTAAGAAAACAATTCTAAAGAGTTCGGATATTAATATCCCAAATACATAAAGATAAGGTTCTTCCGAATATTGTTGCGAACGATCTGCTGATGATAGATACTTTAACAAATGATATAGGAAGAGAGGAGTAGTAAAAGCAAAGATTGATCGGAATATTGCGATAATAAGGAAAAAAACTAGATTTGTAGCGTTGGCAACAAGTAACCGTGATAAAAGATCCATATTGGTTATTCTAAAAGAAGTGAATAAACGCATTAACGATAAAAAAAAAAATAATAATGATGTTTATTTACAAAAATTCTAAACAATGGCCCACCTTTCTAATTCATGATAACATTGAGCCGATTGGCACCTTGATGGCAATTCCCACAAATCTTCCTCAGTGAGAACACGTCTATTCCCTAATTTGATAATCGGAGTCATCCATGCAAAAGATAATAATGACCATAGGGAAGCAATAGTATCATGAGATATTACTCGATCTCTCGCATATTTCAACTCTGGATTTCTTGGTCTTTTAAGAGAGCAAGCTAATAATATACTACAAGCAATAGCGTTCCATATTGAAAACACTAATTCATAACCTTTCGGTTCATGTTTGAGCATTGATCGAAGATTAATGAAAGCAACTATTACAAAATACGCGTAAAACAAGAGAAGATGTCTTAGATATGCATGTTGAGTCTGATTTCTTCGTGTCATAAAATGACACGCTATCAATGCACCAATATATAACTAATTATTGATATGAAAAATAATAATTAATGATGAATTGATAAGCGACAGTTAACAGTAGGAATGATTAAATTATTCAAATTACACATAATTCAAAATATACTTACCCAGGAAAAAAATTGACCTATAGCACCAATCACTAAATATAGTCCAGTATAACCCTCATCATCCATCCGCCAGCCAAAAAGAAATCCAATAAATCCCAAATGAAAAAAAGAAATTATAATTTGGGCAATATCATATTTCGAAACCGGTATATTTCCAGATTCATTTGGTGATGCGCCCGGATCATTTCCTGGTAAAGGAGCATAATAACTTCGACTAGTTGTTCGTCCACGACATCGACGAACTATTAAGTTTGTTATAGACAAAATGATAATACATATAGGAATGGCAGCATTAAGAATGCTGAATAAAATATCGGTCAAATTTCTTTTAGTAAAAAAGAAGGAGCATATATTTACATCCTAGACAGGTCTAAAAATTGGTTTAGTAAATTAAACTTACACTTCTCGAGCGCATGGAGTAAGTTCAAGGCCATCTTCGGTTATCGGACCCTATCCACATAAATAAGTAATATTTATTGAATTCGTAAAACTCGTACGCGTAAGTTGTTATTTCAAAGTTATTCTCACCCATACACCAGAACCACATAGACCCTCATTGCTTCTCAACATTGCAAAAATTTGAATTCTTGATTGTAGATCATAAAAAAGTATAAGACAAAGAACAATATAAATAACACTAGAGACTGAACCGATTGATAGATAATCGCGTCTCCAAAATACTGCACTAAGTGCACTAAGTGCATTAGATCGTTAGTTAAATAGGTAAATAGTTATTGGCTAAAGATTATCCAATTAGAATTATTGATGGCTATACTTTGATGACATCAATGAATGCATATAGGGCGGTGAATTCGACTTAAAAGAGACTCATCCAACAAAAAAAAATCAAAAAAATGCGTCATAATAGCGCGACATTTTTTTTAATTCACTATCATTATGAGAATGAATTTTGAAAAATGGATAAAAAGTTGAATTTTCCATTATTCAAAGTTGGACCTCGTTTTGAGAAATTCTTCAAACTTTTTTGCTCGTCGTTACCTGGGCAACTTTTTTTTTGTTCGTTCGGTTTGCCGGTGGCAAATATTGTGATAAAATTTTAAACGAACATGGAAGATACAATATCCGAACTTATTAAAATTTTCAATATTTAATCGCAAATTTTTTATTATGTTTTAATAGCCAAAGCATTTTGGGTATTTTTTCTTTGTTGTTAAATCTGAACTGCTTCTAATTAATTTCATAAATCTCGATTAATTTAGTATTTAGTATAGGTTTGAATCGTCTTAATATAGTCAGTTTTATATGTTAAGAAAAGTGACCCAAAAATTGCATATAAAAGATCAACATCCCAAAATTAGATAATACTGTTTTTGAATGATCAAATTGTTCTATACGCGTTTGAAATATTACACATGGCACACTCAACTTCTAACGATAAAAAACATAATACTGATACGAAGATATCAATTATGTCAACAATAACGCTACCCTCATTTCCCGAAAATGAAACTAATTCACATTCATTCTATAATTGCATCTTTACTAAGATTGCTAACTTTCTTTTATATCATACTCGGTTTCACCTTCCAACAGAACGTACATTTAAATTTTTGGAAATTGAATTTTATTTAAATGATGCTACAAATGATCACAATGATCCATATTCTCATGGGCATGAGCAACAATTGACTTGCGGAGAATGGTATTTTCATCATGTTGGGAAGAACGGTTATCGAGGTGGATCAAGAAAAGGAATTGATATCACATTTGGCTCGGTAGACCGAAAAATATATGGAGGAATATTAATTCGAGCCATTCAAGATGAATTAACTAATGAAGTTATAGAGGGACCAAGTCTTATAGTTGACAAAATTCTCGAAACATGTGGTGTAAATCAACAGGGTGGAATTCGAGAAATGGTAGAAATTGTGTGGAAAGGAAAAAGTGGAGTTTTACGTGATACGGATAATTCTACTGGTGTTGTTTATTTGACACAAATAAATGAGGATTTGACGGACGATGAAGTTTTTGGAAGAGACAAGAAAAGGTTAAGATATTCAACAGGTCTCACCTCTCCGTATTTTAAACAGAAGTCACGTAAAAAATCTTCTGATACGCGATTAGAAAGAAATAATAATGCTAGTGAGAAAATGTATACTTCCCCTCGAGTCGGAATTACTTTATCTAATGAAATGCCATCAACTAATCTTCGTTTACAGTATTTACTAAAACCTTATAGATACTTTACTTTACCGCATCTTCTTAAAAAAGGAAAAGCTCAACTTGTTATTGGAATGTATGATCATTTTAAAGAAATTAACAAAGTAGCAGATGTGGCAAATATCAGTCGATTTCAAGTCGAGAAATACATTCACGAAATGACGAATGGATTAAAAGAAGGTAACCTTGAGGAATTCATTGGTAAAAAAGGAAAGGGTTTAAATGGGATTGAATATTGTCGAATGGCTGGAACAGTGAAAAAATGGGAACAGAATAAATATGGTTGAATGTTATAATAAATTCATCAATATTGTTGCAACTTTAATTACTTTATTACTTTGAAATAATATTCATGTAAGAGAAATAATTAAAATTTTATTTTTATTTTTTATTTATACACGTATTATAAATTATAAATAACCAATACTATATATAACTTTAAATAATAATGAATCTAATGAATCATATTGATTTCGTATTTTTCTTGGTTAAATTGTGAAGTGGTCCTGCAATTTTCGCGAAGTCTTGAATAAAACGTCGATAGTAAGAGAAGAGTCTAAGTACCATTCTTTTTGGATTCTTAGGCGTAGGTAAGTCGAATTCCAACCAATTGAGGTTTTATTTCAATATGACAAAGCTAAAGTTTTGTCAAATTCAAAATAGGTTTAATAAGAATCTTATAATTAAAAAAAAAAAAAAATGTTATTAAAAATAATATACTTTTATAATTATAATATTTTATATTATAAATTCTTTTATTTAAGTACCTATCATTTGGTTCTGCCAAATCTAGACCATATTTTTTATATCTACCGGCCATCTTATAATCGTAATTGACTTCTTTTGTGGTAAGCCCCTTCTAAGTCCTTTCCAGTATTCTACAGGAATCGTAGTTTTTAAAAATGAAACATACGAGGAGATGACACGAATAGCAAAAATAGTCTGATCCGAAGATCCAGATGTGATCTTAAGAATCATTAGAGTATATAACAAACACATTATTTACCTAAGCCCAAATGACCAAAGATCGAATTCAAAAACGCGGTAGCGTATTAATGCGTCAGTTTTTTTATCTCGTAACCTGCATTTATGACGATTTTTCGCATATTCATAATGAATGCTTTGGCGGATCGATCAGTAATTTCGTCAACTCGTCAATATTGAAGTCTTTCTTTTACGAGCATATCATTTCTGATGCTTTGGGAGAATATATAAATCCGTGACTAGATTATATTTAAATTATAAGTATAGATTCGCTAAGAGGTTTGTTAAATAACATAATTCCTACCCTTAACATCAGGATATGTTGAAAGCCGGTATTTAGTAACACCATATCTTCTGTGATGTTAGATACCGAAGAAGGTATATCCTTTAAGCCAGTGTTGGCCTTTAGAAGCCATTTTTCTAATTCTACTGAGGTTAAGGGTTGAATATCTCCGCATATCATTACAGATTGTTCGGCTTTAACGCAACAATCTCTCGGTCTAAACCTGGGAAATGCTGAAAGAAAAAAAAAAGTTATGAACATGTTTTTAAAATAAAGGATTCATGAGTCGCGCATTTCACGAACTGGAATGGATAAAGAGGCACGCTCACGAAAGATCCGGAAGAGTGACGCATTCCAATAAATAAGGAATGGATAAAGAGGCAAACTTGCGAAAGCTCCGGGAGAGTACGCATTCCAGGTTCGATGAAATGGATAAAGAGGCGAAGAAAGAAAACTATGCGTCATGAATAAGCATCTACTTACCGTTAGTCATTGCTAAAGTCAAAAAATCTGTACAAGAAAGAATAGTGTCATGAAAGGCGGCAAAACTAGACACCTTAGTATGGTAACTACGCGACAATTTATGTTATCAATCATTTAGTCTGAGTCAGGGACGATGATTTATGGCGTTTCGCAAAATATCACAAATGCCACAAAATTTTGTGATAATCACAAAATTTCCTAT